AGTGTGAAACTCTCCATTCAACAACTGCAATATTATATATTGCAAAGAATAGGGGTTTGCTGATTCACAGGATTTTAAATTATATATATATATATACACACACACACACACACAGTTTAATAGAAATAATCCAATCACTTTTGATCCTGATACTTGGAAAATATGAATTGTACACATCAGTGTGAAACTCTCCATTCAACAACTGCAATATTATATATTGCAAAGAATAGGGGTTTGCTGATTCACAGGATTTTAAATGGTTTATAATATATACGTGACGCCGTGACCCTCTGCAAATAAAATCTCTTACCATGGTCTTTGCTTTCTCAGTGTTTGAGCACAGTCATGACAGGCCCAGGCCAGCATAACATTGCATTGCTTACGTGCAGCCAGTGTGCAGTCTAGAGAGCAATATATATGAAAACGGGTACTTAGGACACAAGTTATCTGCTCCACTTACCTGTTTGATTTAAAGTCACAATTGATGGTTTCTATACTGTACTGTACTCATGTAATCACAGTTCACAGCTGGAAGACAGCAGCCCCTACATAACTTTAAGTACTTTCCATCACCCCATCCCATGTGATTCCAGACCGCCAGAAGCCTGTTTTCTATGGATACAATATGTAAATATAAAACCAACTCTCTTCCTCCCTTTTAGGCACCCATACCTAGCACCAATCATACAATACCTGCGTATGAATAAAACAAATCATATATATCAAAATTGAGAAAACAATTATCACATTATAAATGCCCAAAATCACTATTCCAACATCTGTGTTCCCACAAGTTTTTTATATCCAATAGATATCCTTGTGAACACATTATCAGAAATGTGACATTTTCTTGCTACCTTCGCCAACATCTTTAGAGCTAGACACTTGCAAGATGGCACCCAAAATGACCCCTATTAAAGGTCAACACGCCACAGGTTATCAAGAATCCGGAACAAAGTAAATTTACAGTCTATATGAAAATCATTTTAGCAGATCCATATTTGTTTATTCCACCAGGTTCAGAGTAAAGTTGGCCATACACCGATATATTTTTTTCGTTAAACCTGCTGACTGAGTGAAAAAAATAACAGATTCCTACATCCATGCTAAACAGCGTGAATTAACTAATCTTCCACTGAGCTATTGTACTCTCACCGGCGCAGGTGTGCCGCTGTCAGAATATACAACCTGTCCACCTGAAAATTTTCCATCCGTCTCCTTAGATTTTCTGAACGAAGGATGCCAGACGAAAAAGTGCTGACAGGACCACCCACTGAATGAATTTTGTCTGCTCTGAAATTTGTACAGTGTATGGCCAGCTTAACCCCTTCATGACTGAGGCCCTTTTTTCAATTTTTGCACCCATGTTATATTCCACATTTTAGGCCTGAAAATGATGTAAAACCCCCCAACATTATATATTTTCTGAATGCCAAGACCCTATAGAATAAAATGGTGGTAGTTGAAAATTTTTATGTTGCGCAATATTAGCGCAACTCCTTATTAAACCCCCAAATTTAGTGACAAATTTAATTAAATGCCCCAAAACACAACAAATTACCCATTTTTTTAATGAAATATAAAAGATGAGGTTACAACGAGTAAAACGATACCCAACATGCCCAGTTTACAGATTGCGTGCGACCGTGAAACGGCGAAAAACTGCAGTACCCCAAAAAGTCAATAAAAGACACTTTAAAAGCCCCCACAGGTCATCAATTTAGAGATACCCCAAAATACTGGCCCTAGGATTATTGCTCTCACTCCGGCGTGCGCGGCGATACCCAACATGTGTAGCGCGTTCGTCGTTTTCATGCGTAGGCGCACCCGACGCGTGTTTACGTGGCGACGCGCGTGCTCGCGGGGGCGGGGTACTTTTAAAATTTTTTTTATTATTATTAGATTTATTTTATTTCATTTTAATTTTAAAAACTGTTTTTTTTTTTTTTTTACTTTACTTTGACTGCTATCACATGGGGGGGCTTGCAAGCCCCCCCATGTAATAGCAGATGGTGGTGACAGGTCCTCTTTAAGGTGATGCTGGGGGTCCAAAAGCCATTGGGACAGACCACAGTGAAAGGGGTGAGAAAACCTTGAATCAGCCATCTTGCCTGCTGTAAAAACGCATCTAAAAAGTTAAGAATTTTAAAAAAAATTATTTTTCAGTATGCTGTGTGAATAGGAACACATACCAAACATATAGAGGGGGTTTCTCAAATTGTACTGTAAAAGTGGAAATACACTTTAATTTATAAATCTTTTTTTCAAGTTTTGTAGATCGTCTGATAATTCATTCTTAGTTTTGCAGTCAACCTAACTTCATGGAATGGGTTTCCATGGCGGAGCAGCTGCATCCAAGCCTTACATCACCAAGTGCAATGCAAAGTGTCGGATGCAGTGCTGTAAAGCACGCCGCACATCTGATGGGCATGTCTGGGTTTGGTACTTGCCTAACTGCATTGTGCCAAGTGTAAAGTTTGGTGTAGGGGGGGATTATGATGTGGGGTTGTTTTTCAGGGGTTGGGCTTGGCCCCTTAGTTCCAGTGAAGGGAACTCTTAAGGCATCAGCATACCAAGACATTTTGGAAAATTTCATGCAAACAGTTTGTGGATGGCCCCTTCCTGTTCCAACATGACTGCGCACTAATGCACAAAGCAAGGTCCATAAAGACATGGATGAGCGAGTTTGGGGTGGAGGAACTTGACTGGCCTGGACAGAGTCCTGACCTCAACCCGATGGAACACCTTTGGGATGAATTAGAGCGGAGACTGCAAGCCAGGCCTTCTCATCCAACATCAGTACCTGACCTCACAAATGCACTTCTGGAAGAATGGTCAAACATTCCCATGGACACACTCCTAAACCTTGTGGACAGCCTTCCCAGAAGAGTTGAAGCTGTTATAGCGACAAAGAGTGGGCCAACTCAATATTGAACCCTATGGACAAAGATTTGGATGCCATTAAAGTTCATGTGCATATAAAGGCAGGCGTCCCAATACTTTTGGTAATATAGTGCAGAGCTCAAAATTTCCACTCGCCTGCTCGCATTTGGAGAGTAAAAATAAAGTGAGGGCGAGTGGAAATTTGTGTCTCCAAGTACCGGTCCGCGGGCCAACTCAGGCCCGTGAGCCGGTACTATGTGGCCCACAGTCAGCTGACATGTCAGGCACATGGTCACAGACCGTGTACTGACTTGCGGGAGCAGCTCCACGGTCTGCATCTGTGTCGGATGCCGACCGCAGAGCAGCTCCTGCCAGCTCTGGCTTCCTTTGGCCAGAGCTCTGACAGTTCTGAGCTCCGGCCGAAGGAAAGAATGTATGTGAGGAGGATCGATCCCTGGTTATCTGGGGTGATTAGTGAGATCTGCTGAAGACCTCACTAATCACCCCAGATAACCAGGGCTCGATCCTGCTCACAGCCTCCTCCCTGCAAAGACATGAACAGGTGAGGGGGCTTGTATTATTTTTTGTGTGCGGGGGGGAATTTTATTATTATATGTGTGCGGGGGGGGCGGGGTAACGTTGAGAAGTGTATTATTGTGTTTTAAGCTGTGCCCATACACCTTACAACCATTGCACGACTTTTGTTGTGCGATGGTTGTAAGGTCATTAAAATTTCGTATGATCTGCCCATCTTGGACAGGCAGATCGTACTTGCGATCATCGCAAGCCCTCCCTGCTGAGGGAAGGGCTTCCGATGATTGCAGTGCGGCATTTGTCTTCCGACCACACCACCAACCCACCACCATAAATAAGATTATTTAAGAGGGTGTGTTTAGGGGAGGAGTTAAGGCCGAGGCAGGGTAAGGGTTAGGTTTTGGCAACTGGTGGCTAGTAACTCTTAAGGCCTGGCTAGTAGTTCAGGACTTGACATTTTGAGCCCTGATATAATGTATGTACGGATTTAATTTGACAGCATGCAATGTACTCAGCTTGCTGCATGTTTTCTTAAAGAGGCTGCTTATCTTTGAGTTTATGAATTTTGGTCTGATGCTTGGACTATGTTTTTTTTTTGAAGATGTCTGTGAAGATGAATTATTAAAAGCACAACTATATGAGCAAACTTTATCAATGCTACCATATAACATTTTGCAGATATTGAAGTGTTAATGAGATGTGCAAGTTGTGGCAATCTGAAAAGAAAGACTTTAATGATACTTTGGAGGCACATTCCAAAGTTTTATATACAACCAATTCCGAGATTCAGGCAACGACACTAAGGGATAAGGGATAAAAGTTTTCACAGAACAAAAATAAAAAAAGAGTTGTATTTCATGAAGAGAATATACTATACCTGAGTATACATGGCACTAGCAAAGGTAACTTTTGGTTGATACAGTCTGTAGCAATAGTCATTTGCTCAAAGCATATTTAGCTAAACACACTTTCACCAAATTATTCATAGGACCAACAACATCAATAACAATTTTAGTGCTTGGATACAAACCTAATGACTTCCCTGTCATATTAGCATCATAACAGAGTTCCCAAAATCCAATATGCAGAGAATGAAGCAATGCACCACATGCCAAATGTCAGTATAGCATCCCAACAAAGGGCTCAGTTCCACTCACCAAGTCTGTAAATGGTTAAGTAGCATGGTTCAATACATCAATTCAACTAATCAATTCAGTCTTATTCGGACTGTCCAGTACTTGGTTTCAGTTTCAATGGTTCCTTAACTAAAATAGGTTTAATAATGTAAAGTTTTGCATTGGGTTTTGTTTTAGAAATTGTTGCATTCATTGAACCTTGCTATTTTCCAAATAGCTACCCAATTATATAGCAGTATTTATGATGGCAAAATTTAAAACCATGATCTTCCCAACATTTGTGATTTTTGTTAATTAAAACAGGCCCCAAAACTCCAATCACAAGAAGCAAACGTGATTATCCATTTTGCAATCAAAGAAGAGATTGTTGCCCTGTCCCCTGGTTGTTAGTTTGGTAAAGAGCAAGGACACAAATAAAGGATAGCAGCAGAATTGTGTCTGTCCTACCTATATCAGTTGCTACCGCCCTGGAAATTTTTCTGCCCTTGATCTTCACTGTAAATAACATGTCAATAAAAGACATCAGTGTCTAACAGTGGTTCAAGCTGCATCAAACTATAATGTTAACATACAGAAATACTGTACCCTTTTCTATAAATAATTTCATTGTTTGTTCATCATCAGAAGTTGTAGGAGAGCCACAACCTATACAAGTGAAGACAACATTTAATGAAGACATATGGGACAAAATAAAGCCAAACAAAGACACAGCCGCGATTTCAGATAAGCAAGGTTAATAACTGTTGTTAATGAAAAACACACGGGTGGCAAAACATAAATAAAACTACCTCTGTGTGCATGGGATCCCCATGTACTGCAAGATGTAGTACATTATTACATCTGTAAAAGCAGAAACTTTGGTTCCCAAAGGCTGGCATGTACAGGTTCAGCATAACAGGTAAATTAATTCCTTAGTGATATTTCAAACAAGGAAGAGCTCTATGATAAAGCAGGAAGGTTCAAGAACATTCCCCTCCCTCCTACATCAAAACAGACGTCCTATGTGCAGTGACAATTGTTTTTTTCTTTCAGCCAACACACTGCTTACATAGGCTGGATTGTGAGAACCAAGGCTACAGGTAAGTGACAACATGCTACATTTTGAAGTTATGGAGCAAGAACTGAAAAAGGTGAATGTAGACAAAGGTACTCCTAACCTTCACTGTCTGACAATAAAATGAGTATTTTCTACGTACTAGGTACAAAGAAGACCATCAGGCACTGCTGTGTAGAGTTCTCTTAAATACAATTAACCTCCCTGGCGGTATGATTATCTCAGTATGTTTTCTTTTTCTATTTTTTACTTCTGAATTTCTCACCAGTTCCGCCCCACTGCAATGCCGGTGCTCGCAGGGAAGGAACCGGGAAGACACCCAAGTGTGGCTCGGGGTTACCGCGTTTGGTACGGAAAATTTACCCCCGAGCCACACTCGGGATTACCGCCAGGAAGGTTAAAGGGCTGCATGTTAAAAAATAAATCTATGAGACTCCGAGGGTCTATTAAAACTGGCAGAGCCATTTGCTCTGCAAATCTCTGTGATCATTTGTTTTGTGCGAATAGAGGTAAAACAAACTTTCTTGGTATATTTTCTTTTCAGGTATGTCAAACATAATGTATATACATACATTACATTTTGTAACGCATGTCGAATGTAATGTTTGTCTAATGTAGAGCTGCATTATAGCCACAAGGTGGAGTTGAGGAGCACAGATAATAGGTATTTTTAATGCCCCTCTGCTCCATTTAGTGGCCATAGTGCAGAATTATATAAACAATACATCAGACCTAAAAAGAAAATATACTAAGAATGTTCATTTTTGCCTCTTATTTGCACAGAACAAATGTTCACAGAGATTTGTAGGGTGACTGGCTCTGCCAATTGTTTAAAAAATAGACCACTTTATAAGAAAAATAGTTATTTGCTGTACTGGCAAGCTGCAAAGCCAAGCAAGAGACAAACAAAACATAAGTACACTGCAGGGCTTCTAGATTCAAGCTTTGGCTTTGCTCCATCAGGAAAGATCATTCCATGTGAACTGCTATGTAACCATCAACAATTTCTATAATGAATTCAATTGTGCATCTCAAAGTAAAATGTTTGGATGACCTTAGTTGTTACATAAATTAGCTGATTTTGTTGTTGTTGTTGTTGTTGTTATGGAAACCATCCAATCACCCATAGATTCTAGTGTGATTGACACAAACTCTGGGGTTGATTTCCAAAAAAGGCAGCAAAAGAGGACAGCTGCCCACAGAAACCAGGTTCCTTGTTTTCAGTCTTCCTTACTCCAGTTTTTCTCGATCAGATTAAATTTCTTGGAGAATATTGCATGACTGAACAGCTCTACTGTCAAAGGGATCACTCACCTGAAGGAACACTCGGGCAGCCTACTAAAGTATTACAGTGTAGTCACCTCTACTTACCTCTTGCGATCAGCACAATGTCCAGAATACTGTACAATTCCTACCATCTTCTGTAAGCACTATTACTAAAACCATTGGATGGTATGTTTGTTTATGTATGTAACTGAGAAGGGCAAATACATGCTAACATGAACTTGCTGGACAGTAAACAACCAAGCACAATACATTTACCATATATTTAAGGTCACTTTCTAGAATGACAGACTATCTCCTACTGGACAGTTCATAGTTTTCCTGGGGTAAAGGTATGAAAAAAACATAACTGCTTCTTACTATGCTACATGTGTTAAAAAAAAAATACCCCCTAAGACACTAGAACCTGCAGAGTCATTTCACACCGTTTGATGTTAAAAGCCTCCGTATACTATAGGTAACAGCAGGAGGGACAATGTTTCAACCTTCGAATGGTGAAAATTCGCTATTAGAATAAGCAGATTGTTAAATCAACTAGCAAGATCAATTGCCTTGTATTGTTCTGACTCATTGGATATAATCTAGAATATGACTAGGCATTCAGGAATCAGACTGCTGACTCCTCTGTAATATAAGTGCACAGAACACACAAAAAAATCACTTCCAGGAGAAGAAATGCAGTTAATAAAATTTAACTCTTCATCCTTGCTTGATGTTCAGACTGAAGATTATTATTATTACATAGTATTTATATAGCGCCAACAGTTTGCGCAGCGCTTTACAATGTAAGGAAGACATTACAATTACAATACAATTCAAGACAGGATGGTAAGTAGGGCCCTGCCCCTGAGGGCTTACAATCTGAAAGAAAGATGATGTCCGAGTCAAGGATGACACCTAGGACCTTGGCATTGGAGGAGGGGTGGATAGTTGTGTTCTCAATCTCAACTGAAATGTTGGGGGAAGGTGCACGGGTAGGAGGAAATATCAAGAGCTCAGTTTTTGAAAGATTGAGTTTTAAGAAATGTTGTGACATCCAGACGGATATGTCAGTTAGTAGATTAGTGACACGAGAGGACACAGAGGGGGAGAGTTGTGGAGTGGAAAGATAAATTTGACTGTCATCGGCATAGAGATGGTATTGGAAGCCATGTGAGGTTATTAGTTGACCAAGGGAGGAGGTGTAGATAGAGAAGAGAAATGAAGATGAAATTTAACCTAACATTCATCCAAAAAAAAAAAAAAGGTTTAAGGCTTAAAAGGTTCTTTTCCTCTAAGTATGGACTTACTGCATCTGTAGTTGTTTCTAAATTCTTAAAGGTTTCTACATATAGCTGGTTATATTTTTAATTCTAGTACTCTGTGGTGATTGTTCAGTTGTAACACGTGCTGGTTAATGGTTTGTGTTTTCAGTCCATCAAATCTTTTCTTGCCACCTACAGGTCCCAAGTCTAGTCACAGTTGCAGACCAGACTTCCCCTCTGCCCTGCTATGGACGAAAACCATTTTTAGGGGAAGGATAAGTAAACTTCAAGTCAGATAAATCCTTAACCATGTCCTGAACTTGTCCCGATCCCTAGCAAGCTCGCAGTGTGCATGGTACCTTTCCAAAGGGAATCGCCCAAATCTCATTTCATATTACCTAGATGGGAGGTAGGTTATGACAGACTATATCCAGACAATGGGATATTGCTTGGCATAAGGTGTCATGACAAATCTTGTTAAGTATAACTACAGCCCAAACTTTTTTTATAGATTAGTAAAGGGTTAAAATCACTGTCTGGTGTTTTCATGCTGGCTATGTCCCATTGGGGAGATTTCTGTTCCTTTCTTATTCCACAGACAACTGTATGCGAGAGGAAATCTCTCCAAAGTGAGAGAGATCCCCTCTTCGGGAGCTGTTGCCTGGAAGATTTCCCCTCTTTTCCTATATTAGTGACAATGCAGCATTTTGGATTTTCCATGACTCTCAGTCTTGGTGAGAATAGTTGCTACGACATATAGAGAGAATGACTCTCTCAGTGACACATAAATAAAAACCTTAGGAGTGCGAACCTTTCCTTGCTCTATCCAAATCTTAAGATACAATATATTTGTGCTTTAGATACACTTGATTACTGCTATATATATATATATATCTATATACATATATATAGATATATATATATATAGATGTATATCTATATATATGTATATATACACACACAAACACATTGGATGCTGCTTTTTTAGAATGTTTACCTTTTTAGAATTTTTATTTTACAGATATTAAAATACTGATCCCTTAGATTTTTTTTGAAACCATCAAAATAAAAGCCAAACGTCTTATGTTAAAACTATTAGTTGAATTACAAATGACTGCATGCAACACTAGAATTACACACAAAATTAAAAGTACCTGAGGTGGGGGATTTGCAGCGATCCTCTGAGGTTGGCGTGCTCTCATTAATGTCAGAAAGACCTGCTGAAATATGAAATGTACATAGAATGATTACTCAAGTGTATGTTTGATGTGGTTCTCAAGGTATGATCAATGCAATATGAAAGACTTACAGTTCAATTCATTACCCAGAAAGGTATCTCACAAGATGACTAATTAATACATTTGCAGCCAGAAAAAGGGAAACCACAGTTTGCTATTATACTAGACCCCTCTGGCTGTGTTATCTGCTATCATACAAGCTTTCTGATCTTATTCTGCATTCAGGGTTATCCCAAAGTGGCTAAACAAGTCATAGGCAGTCCAGTAATGATGCTCTTAGTCCATAGTAAATGCTTTTGTGCACATTAATTTTACTGTAGTAGTTCAGTAGTTGTTGGCACAGTACTTTGTGTTTAAAATATGCCAAAATTGCACACTGTCAAAAATGTTCCAGACCTGTAATCTATCTCAGTACTTGACCCTAATACTGAAGCCTCCTAGTAACACTCAACTTAACCTTTAAAATTCACTTTTCTTTTCTTATACAGCATAAAAGTGGGCTTCTGTCATCTCTTAAAGTGCATTTCCATTTTTGCAGCCAAATCAGGATAACCCCTATTTTAGATTTCTTACATGTTCCCATTTACATAGCATAAGCTAAAAAATTTTTTACAAAAAATTATTTTATCGCAGTTTAAATTGATTTTACTTTTGTTACGGTTTCTTGGCTTCTTGAGGGTTAAACATTCTACATGCTTCCCCTTTGTAATGTTAGGAGGGGCTGCAAGGGTATTAAATATTACAGCCCTGGCCTGTGCATTCAAATGTAAATGAAGTTAGAGAGCAAAATGCAATGCTCAAATTTCAGTCCTAAGTCTTTCTATAAGGACAAAAGGTAGTCAGAAAAACCTGGAATCAGCCATGTTGCCTCTTGCAACAAAACATTTAAAAAGGTAAGAAATATGTTTTTTTCTTTTTTTTGGTTAGGTTGTGTAAATAGGAACACACAACAAACATATAGAGGGGTTTTCTAAAATTGGACTGCAAAAGTAGAAATACACTTTAAGCGACAAATATAATTTTTAAGATTGGTTATAAAATATATATTTCGGGAAGTGTATATATAAAAAACAGGAGTGCAGTATTCCTCCATTGGGCAGAATGGTATTTGAGGACAAACTAGCCATGGAAGAACATAGATGCCAAATCCTATGCTGCTGAGGTCAGAATAAACTCTAAGCTTTACTTCTTAAAATCAACCAACACTGGACTTCAGTCACTAAAAGTATTGCATTATATGCATCATTTTTTTAACCAGCTGCTTCCAGCTCATTTGGAGAAGAGAAAAATTCTAAACTGCCTTTTAAGAACAGATAAGGAGAAATATTACCACAAGAGTAAATAAGTAAACATTATCTAAAACCAATAGAGTGAAAATACAAGATTTAACATTTACAAAAGAAACAATCTATTTAACACATTGATTTTTGTAGTCTGAAGAACAGAAACCTCAGTTTCAAGGACTTACAAAGAAAGCGAGGTATGCTCAAATCTAAACCCTGGATACTTCTAGACTCTCACTGGCTTAGTGCTATATAACACCATTTATTTTAGCTTGATTTCACAGAGAAATGGTGTGAATTCTGAAAGTTGTCACAAATTGTATTGCACATTTTCTTTTATACATATTGCTTTCCCATCTAGACAAGTTTCCAAATAATCTAACATGTCAATAATCAATGGTTAAAAAAAATATTTAATAATTTTACTAAACTATATATTTTTTATTTTAAAATATATAAAGAGGGTCTCTTCTGGGACAACACAAACTGATTACATCAAAAAGTGGACTTCTGGACACTGAGAGCTTCCATGATTTAGGCCCGGTTCACACCTGGGCGTTTTGTAGCGCGTTCGAATGCTCTGCAAAACACTCAAACACCGAAACCCCATTATTTCCTATTGGTATGGTTCACACCTGAGCGTATTACAGGCCGTATGAACGCGCTACAAAACGTCCTATGCCCAAAGAAGTACAGGAGTTTCTTTGGGGCATTTTTGTCGCGCGTTTCCATTGGGATACAGCCAAGTAGCCCTCGGAAACGCGCGTTTGTCGAGAATCGCTGTAAAAACGCGTGCCACGAAACCGGCGACAAACGTGCATATTCGATACGCCTAGGTGTGAACCCAGCCTAATGTTGAGGCAGACATTTTTGGGAAGTCAAGTGACATCAAGGACACAATGCATAAAGACTCGTATTATAGTACCGTGATATTAGTATAAATAACAAATATTACAGCTATCTTGGAAGGAAAAGTGTATACAGCTTTTTTTAGCAGGATTAATATACAGTGTGAGAATTGTGTGTCAAAGTTATATGTGACCTGTGGTAAAATTGGCAACAACGGATATGACTAGATGGGAAATACCAATACAGGTGTATTCTAGGCTGGATGGTGTGGAGCACTCATTAAAACAAAGTCCCATAAAATTTAGACCTAGCTACAAAATAACTTAGAAGTCTGAATAAGCTGAAAAAGATAAATGTAGATATACAGTCATGGCCAAAAATATTGGCACCCCTGCATTTCTGTCAGATAATGCACCACTTTGCGCAGAAAATTGTTGCAATTACAAATGTTTAGGCATTCTTGTGTTTATTTCTTTTGTTGTATTGGTATGACACAAAAAAAGTGGAGGAACAAAAAGCCAAATCTGACACATCCCACGCAAAACTCCAAAAATGGACTGGACAAAATTATTGGCACCCTCAATTAATATTTGGTAGCACAGCCCTTGGAACAAATAACTTAAATCAATCACTTCCTGTAACCATCAATGAGTTTCTTACACAGGAATTTTGGATCACTCTTCTTTCGCCAAGTGCTCCAGGTCTCTCCGATTGGAAGGGTTCCTTTTCCCAACTGCTGTTTTGAGATCTCGCCACAGGTGCTCTATGGGATTCAGATCTGGACTCATTGCTGGCCAGTCAAGTACTCTCCATCACTTTGTCTGAAACCATTTCTGGGTGCTTTTTGACGTGTGCTTTGGGTCATTGTCCTGCTGTAAGACCCATGACCTCTGACTGAGACCCAACTTTCTGACACTGGGCCCAACATTGCACCCTGGAATTCGTTGGTAGTCTTCAGATTTCATAATGCCACGCACACAGTCAAGACATCCAGTGCCTGAAACAGCAAAGCAACCCCAAAACATCAGTGAACCTACACCATGTTTGACTGTAGGGACAGTATTTTTGTCTTTAAAGGCCTCAGCTTGAATTTGTCTGGAAGTTGATCCAGGGTCTTTATGCACCATTCGAACAATCCTTTGTTGCAATCTTTGATCAATTGTTCTCTTTCGTCCGCGTCCAGGGAGATTAGTGTCATGGGCTGTGAACTTCTTGACAATGTTGCGCACAGTGGACAAGGAAACATTAAGATCTCTGGAGATGGACTTGTAACCTTGAGATTATCCATGCTTTTCCAAAAAAACTTGGAATGCAATTATTTCTTGCAATTTGGAGAAGGTGCCAATAATTTTGTCCATTCCATTTTTGTGGTTTTGCGTGGAATGTGTCAGATTTACATAGTTACATAGTATTGGGGTTGAATAAAGACATACGTCCATCAAGTCCAACCCATATACTGTAGGTCCACGCATCATCTCATTCTTTTAGAGATACTGGTATCCCTGGATATTACGGTCCCTCAAGAAATTGTCCAAACTTTTCTTGAACAAATCTACACTCTTGGCTGAAATCACTGCCGATGGCAGTGAGTTCCAGACCTTAAAGTGACATTAAACCCTCAGATTTTTTAACATAAAACAATACTGTAATGTGTGCCTTACTGTAATCCATGGTAGTTTCCCTTCTCTTTGATGCTCTTCCTTTTAAATCTGTATCTGTTCTCATGCTTGGAGAGAACTTCCCTTTTCAGCAGACTGCCTTGTCTCAAACGGTGTCTGTGTATACGTTTCTATAGGCTGTAACCTGAGCCAGCACTACAGGAAGAGGCCCTGAGCTGAAAAGGGAAGTTCTCTCCAAGCATGAGAAAATATACAGATTTAAAAGGAAGAGCATCAAAGAGAAGGGAAACAACCATGGATTACAGTAAGGCACACATTAAAGTATTGTTTTATGTTAAAAAATCTGAGGGTTTAATGCCACTTTAACCGCTCTTACTGTAAAGAACCCTCTTCGCCCATTGTGCTGGAATTTTTTCTCCACTAACTTTAGCTGGTGGCCTCTAGTCTTTGTAATGGAGTTAATCTCAAACAGTTTGTTGCCAATGTTGCTGTCACCATTGAACATCTTGTACATGAAAGTCATATCCCACCTCAATCTCCTTAATTCCAGCGTAAACATGTTTATGGTCAGAAGCCTTGTCTCATAGCTCTGGTCCTCCATTCCCCTAATTAGTTTTGTTGCCCTCCGCTGGACTCTCTCCAGTTCAAGGACATCCCTTCTCAGTACCGGCGACCAAAACTGGACCGCATACTCCAGATGTGGCCGAACCAACGATCTATATAGAGGCACAATTATAGACTTGTCCCTGCAATACATCCCCTTCTTAATACAGGACAAGACCCTGCTAGCTTTGTTTACCGCAGCTTGGCACTGCAAGCTACCATTCAGTTTGTGGTCTACAATGACCCCCAAATCTTTTTCTATTTCTGACTTCCCTAGCGGCATACCCATGATTGTATAGCCTATTTGTTTATTTTTATGTCCAAAGTACATTACTTTGCATTTATCGACATTAAACCTCATCTGCCATAGTATTGCCCACTCCCCTATTTTATCCAGGTCCTCCTGCAATGTTATAGTGTCACGATCCGTTTCTGGCTTTTTGTTCCTTCACTTTTTGTGCCATATTAACATAACAAAATAAATACACATGAGAATGCCTAAACATTTGTAATTGCAACAATTTTCTGCGCAAAGTGGTGCATTATCTGACAGATGCAGGGGTGCCAATATTTTTGGCCATGACTGTCAATCTATCTGTCTGTCTATCTATCTATCTGTGTTTTTTGC